GTGTGTGCGGCCCTGAAGCTAGGCTGTCACACGCCGGAACGGAATGTGTTGCAGTCTTGAAGCTGGGCTGGCACGCACTGGGACGGTATGTGTGCAGTCCTGAAGCTGGTACAGGCGCAGGTGCAGCGAAATAGCGGAAACCCTCTGTCTGTGCTTTCAAGCATTGAACTCTTCCAGAATGCCTTTTGGCCCTCTCCAATGTACCAGCGCGCCTCCCTGATTAAATGTTTGGCGGTGCCCCGTGCTCAGTAGTAAATATTCCGTTAAGAAATAATCATTAGCCTTTAACTGCTTACCTTTAAGCGATCGTTGCAACTTCTGCGCACATTGCTCCATCACGTGACTGGCGCATATATTGTCTCGTCACATGTCTATGAATACGCTGCTATAAGCCATGAATTTTCACCAGCTCGTGGATATAGTTTTAGGCCATCCAACTGTCATGAGACAACGAATATATTAAACCCCAAAGCCATTGGGATGAGGCTGATTTTAAAGCAAATTAAGGCTGTTTGGTGACGAGGGGGCACTGCAACATGTGAAATGGAGGCCTCTCGTTTTTAGACTACTTTATTCAAGGCAGTTTAGGAGACGTCTTGACTGAATGGGAAACCTCTGGCACATGTTCCCTGGAGGCCTCTCGACTCGGCGAATTTGAGGCTATCGTATCTCATAGGCAAAACAGTAGTAATAGCCTTATCTATCGGCGAAAAGCCAGCAGAATGGAAATATAGTTTGGTTGATATTTCGGCAACATGCCTTTATCGAAACAATAGCAGAAGCGAATTAGAAATTGCCTGCCGATGATCCCGCTCAATTGTTCAGCTGTTTTTTTTGGGGGGGGGACAGCAAGCCACAGTTTTTACAAGACGCCGGCATTCAGGGAATTAAACAAAGAGCGATTACCTGTCATTACCACGATACCGTGTCTATCTAACAATTGGAATATGCAAAGACACGCGTACATACAAAGCAATTCAACCAAATACGCATCATGCATCACGCTTCATTCAAACGTGCAAACGGGTTGAAGTAAGCAGGCATCACACATCGTGCATCAATTACACATACAAGCGATTTCAATTGAAAAGACATCACACATCACATGTCAGGCATCACTTGCACATGCAAACGATTTTAAGCTAGCACACATCGCACATAAAAGCCCATATCACGTTAACATAATCGGCCATGATGAGCCCTATATGTTAGTATTTGGTTGCCCACTTTCTATACGAAAACATTTACTTCTTCTCCTGCCTGGGTGATCTTGTGCACTTAAGATGACTTTAGGCTATAAAAGGGACATAGGGTCCTCGCTCAATTTTAGTCTGAGCGTGTTTTCCAACAAAAGAAAATGATCACCGATCACCGTGTGCTCCCTGTTTTGTTTTTAGGGTCTCGCAGGTGTTCAGTTTGTCTCCCTACCACGTTTTTTCAGACAATTAACACTTGATTTTGTAAACCAGGTATTTGTGCGTGCAAAGCCCTTGAAACCCAGAACGGCATAAATAACATTTATTACCTTCCGGGCACTTAGGCTTCGAGATGGAAGCTTTCACCAAATACTTTTTTAGCTTATTGTCGTTCTTCCAAGCTATGCGTACACGCGCTTCTGATTTTTCAGCAATGTGTTCGATTTTACAAAGCATATGTTAATCTATATAAGGTAGCGTTAATCTATTCAGCTTTTTTCAGCGACGAGTTCCGACTTCTCTGAAAAATGGCTTCAAGGTCAATTGTGGCATGAAAACACCAAAGATGACCGTTATTTTGCAATATCATGTGACCTTCAAGGACAAAAGCTGCGTCAGAGGACGGGGAACTCGATATCACCCAAAAACTACCGGCGGATTTGAAGACTGTGAGCATCAAAGTAGTCACAAGCGCAAGAGCTAGGGTCCGTCAAAAGGTCCTGACCTCTCAAGGTCACCCTTCAAGGTCAAACACAGGCTCAAAGGACGGGAAGCTCCATATCACCTCAAAATTACCGAGCGATTTTGAACTTCTCAACGTCCGAATTTTCCCACGGAAAGAACTGGCGTCCGTCAAAATGTCCTGACCTCTCCTGCTATTGTCTAGCAGTTTTTGGGCGGTATGGCGTTCACCGTCCTGTGAGCTCGCGTTTACCCTTGAAGGGTGACCTTGAGAGGTCAGGACTTTTTGACAGGCGTTAGCTCTTTCTGTGGTGAATATTCTGATCTTTGTAAGTCAAAAATCGGCCGGTAATTTTCGGGTGATATGAAGTTTCCCGTCCTTTGAGCCCGCGTTTGACCTTGAGGAATTTCTTTGAGAGCGCGTGGGGGATGGGTGGTTGGAGGCGGAAGCACGTCCTATCGGAAGACAGATTTTTGACGCTACCTTATAAAGGTGAGCACTTGTCTTGGAAAATCTAACACATTGTTAAAAAATCAGAAGTGCGCGTACACCTACCTTGGAAGAACGACAATAAGCTAAAACGTCTTTGGTGAAATCTTCCATCTCGAGGCCTGAGTGCCCGGGGCGCACTAGATGTCATTCATGCAGTTATGGGTTTCAAGGGGTTCGCGCGTAAAATGCGTGGTTTACGACATCAAGTGTAGACAGTGAAAAGCATGGGAGGGAGATAGTCAGGGATTCCATGTAACCTATTCGTTTGAAATATAATGAACACTTACAAGACGCTAAAAACAAAACAGGGAATACCCCCTTTGGTGACCATTTTTTGGCAAGATACGCTCAGACTAAAATCGAGGGAGGTATGGGCCATATGCCTTTTTATAGTTCAAAGTCATTTACAGAGCACAGGACCACTCAGACAGGAAAACAAGTAAATTTTTTCCTGTAAAAAGACGGCGATCAAATCTTTACATCTGGGGTTCATCATGGTCGATTATGCGAACGTGATAAGTGCTTTCATGTATGATGTGTGTTAGCTTAACATCGTTTACATATGTAAGTGATGTCTGACGGGTAATGTGCGATGCTTGTTCAATTGAAATCACTTGCATGTATAATTGATGCGCGATATTTGGTGCCTGTTTACTTCAAACCGTTTGCATGTTTGAATCAAGCGTAATGCATGATGCCTATTTGCTTGAATTAGTTTGCATGCACACATATGTTCGCCTATTCTAATTCTTAGATAGACACGGTATCGTGGTAATTGCTGGCAATCGCTCTTTGTTTAATCCCCTGAATGCCGGTGTCTTAGTACACACAAAACCAGGTCGAAGTGCTTCACATCTAAAAGATCACAAACGGCCTCACCAAGTAAAATAGACGAGGAAGGGAGGAACAAGTTGAACTCCATCCATACACGTTGCGTTGGATCGTAAAAGACCGACAAGCATACCGAAACCGACATTTTGGCTCTGACACGCAGCTCAGTTGAAACTGCGTCCCCCTTTGGTTAGATTCAGCGATACACTGCATGTGATACCGAAGGTTAAGTACACCCCCTCTTTGGGCTCCGAAGGAGCACCATAGCCGACCGAACAGACGCAGTTTTTGAACACAAAATGCAACAAAATCTGGACAACTCTGGGCGTTCAGACGACCAAGAAAAAGCAAAACTGAAGGGCCTAGGAGCAGACAAAAAATCTCCACTGGTTGAGAGGGTGGTGAAAGAGAGATTGCTAGACTCATTGCGCTGTGCAGAGGCCCTACGCCGTTCCTAGGGGCCCAATACGTCCACTTGTAAAGCAAATCCGACCGCTAAGGAGCCTCCTTTCTGCTGGCTTTCCGGGGCATGGATCCTCTACATTAGCCTAGGGCCCTTTCAATTCCCCGTCACATGCGGGGCTGTACGTTTTTCTCGGGGACCCATCTGTTAACCTGACCTCGGGAACACCCGAACGTTGGGGGTCGTCCACATGGGGTCTTGGCTACTTCCTTTTGGCTTTTGAGAGCCCCATGCTTTTGACAGGACCCCATCTGTCAACCCGCTCGGACACACTCCAGCGTTCGGGGTATCCCACCTTGGGCCTTAGTTCCTTCCTATTTGAACGGAGCGTCCTGCCCTCCTGTCGTGGGTCCCATCTGTTAACCCTCTCGGGCACACTCCATCGTTCGGGGTCCTCCACATTGGGTCCTAGGCGCTTTCTATTGAAATGGGGGGGGGGGGGCACTGTGCTCTTTCCGGGGGCCATATCTGTTAACCTGCTGGGGTACACTCGATTGTTCGGGAACCATGCACATTGGACACTGGGTCCTCCCTTTGAATGTCGGGTCTGACTACCTGCTAACATGGCTGGGCACTCTTATCAACCAAGGGCCTTCCATGGATTCTTCACATTCGCCAGAAAGGCTCGATACGCCATCGCCGGGGGGTCCCATTTGCCCGATTGCTCAGGGGCCCTTCATGTTGGCCTCGGGCTCTTTCCACCTGCTCGAAGGGCCCTATTCTGTTGCTGGGGCCCATATAAGATAATTCACCGAAGCACTCGATGCTCAGGAACCCTCTATATTGATTTAGGTCCCTTTCCCTTTGAGCTCAGCTACGGCGGATACCTCACTCTTATCAGGGCCCTTTCTGTTAACCTATCCGGGCATTCTTAACGCGCAGGGGAATTAATTCATGTACTTTCTGGGTCTTGGGTTATTCCCTTTTGCTCAGAGGGTCCTGTGCTCCGGTCGGGCCCAATGCGTTAGCCTGCCGGGATACTCCCGACCGTTCAGGAGCCCCACCATATTGGTCTAAGGTCCTTCTCGCTTGTTCCGAGGACCCTATGCTGTTAACGGGAGCCTCTTTGTTGGCCTGCCGCAGCACCCACTATCGCTCAGGCGTCGACCTTTTGGTCTTGGGTTTTCCCATATTATAAGAGGGCGTACGCCGTTGACGGCGCCCTAAATCTTAACAATGAAGGTTAACTGACATGGCTGCCACACTGTCAAACTTGTCTTATCCAGCTCGTGCTTTAAAATTTCGATGCGCTTATCCTTACACGTCAGCTTACGAGATTAACTAACATAGCTGTCATAACGGCAAACTGAGTCTTACCCAGATACTTCATGCTTTTTCTTGTTTATTTCTTGCAACAGTAACATTACCTAAAACGATGTTCACTATCCCCAGACCATTCGGTGCGTAGCGTATGTGGGGCGCCAGCTACGGCACGCCCGCAACACTCAGTGGAGCTTCACGACCATGGTGCCGGGTAGCGACCTGGACATCGCTGACAACGCGTTGGAGAAGAGCGACGGAACGCCACTTTATTTTTGGCATGAAGTATAGGATACGCGTATATGATACACTACAGCTCCAAAAGTCGGTCAACTTGGCAAAAAATCAAAACAACAACCGCGACAGAAAATAGTAATGGACAAGCCGTCACGGCGACAGTAAGCGTGACGCTATTGGACAGACCAAAGCCCCCACTTTTCCAGTGTTCGGTTACACACAGCAAGGACCACGTACAAACCTCTGCGCATCCTGTAAAAATACCAGCCCATCTCGTTCGCGGCGCAATTCGTCAGCGCCAGCCGAGCCACAGCTGCATCAGTGCGTCCCTGATCGCCGCCGCAGCCACTGCGTCCGTGACCTCGGGTCACAGCAGGCCTGCGCACATCGAAGCTAGACGGCCGTGGCTGGCAGTGGCGGCTGCGCAGGGCCGCCCGTGGCTGCCTCGGGCCGGCGGCGGCGCGGCCGGCTGCCCCGGGCTGGCGGCGGCGCGGCCGGCTGCCCCGGGCTGGCGGCGGCGCGGCCGGTGCGCGGCACTACCGGACTGAGCGCCGAAGCCGGCTGGAAGGTGGACCAACAGCCGCAGACGGCGGCGCGCCCGTTGGTAGGGTTCTGGTTACGTCGGCGATCCTGGTTCACGGTGGAGTGACGTTGGCAGCCTGGTGACGTCATCCTCGGGTGACGATGTGGTGACGTCAGCCATCTCTGCTCACGCTAGCGTGAAGTGACAGCTGGTGGTAACGGACGATGAATGGTGACGTCGAGATAATGATGCTCTAGCCTCGGGAAGATTATGTGATGTCCACAATAGCGGGGGGCGGGGTGGGCTTGCCATCCTTGTGTCCGTCTTGGTCCTCTGCTTTGTCCTGCAACATTGGTCAACACTGACGTCAGACACAAGTCAAGCGGATATTCTGAGCACGGTTTGTCCTGCAACACTGGTCAACACTGACGTCAGACACAAGTCAAGCGGATATTCTGAGCACTTGCCGACAAGCGCGGCGGTGGGTACGAAATGGGTTAAGTAGCAAAACGCAGTTAACAACATGCGCAAAACATGCATGTGTATACCGCCAACTTCAGCCACATCGTCACACCATTCCGTACGATGTGACACCTGGTGTGACCAGCAGGCCTCTCCCGGCGACCGCGACCTCGAAGTGGTGACAGGACGGCGTACTGCTAAGCCGCCACACCACGAGGCGGGACTCGGACGGCTTCCGCCGGCGCCGGCGCCGACGCCGACGGCAGCGTCGCCTCGCTCACCTTGGTCGGCCGGATCTGCAGTGCCTTGGGCAGCTTGACACCGCCCGGGAGCTGGGCACCGGACGGGCCGGCCCGCGCGGCGTCGGCGCGGAACGCCGCGGCCGCCTCGGCCAGGCCCCGCACGCTGCCCGGCGCCGGCTGTCTGGCGGCCGCCGACGGCTGTCCCAGCAGCTGTCGGGACATGGACGAGGCCGGCTGTCCTCCCCACTGCTTGGCCAGCAGCTGCAGCATCTGGTTGTAGGTGTTCATGTCGACGGACGACGGCTTGCCTTTCATGCGGAGAGGGGAAAGGTCAGACGAGCGGGCCGGCGCTGACTGGGCACGGAAAACACGAGCAGGCCACCGCCCACTGGACACGGAAAGAATGAGCAGGCCAGCGCCAGCTGGACACTGGGAAGACGAACAAACCAGCGCCTATCGGGCATAAATCCGACGAGCAGGCCAGCACCGACTGGACACGGAGAAGACGAGCAATCCAGCGCCCATTGGGCACGCGGAAGACGAGCAGGCCAGCGCCGACTGCGCACGGAGAAGAGACCGACATGCGCAGACTGACGGGCAGGGAACATCGACTAGGTCTGAATGGCGAAAAGGGCGAGGCGACAACCATAAAATCTTCATGAACGCACAGCGGCGGTTGTTATTCCCACCCTGCACCTGAACAGCGGCGCCGCGGCGGTCAACCGGCAGCCGAGTGGCTGTGGCCAGCTCGACGCGATGCACGTGATGTTTCCAGTCCTGGACCCGCCCCGTTAATATCAGCATCAAGATAGCATGCCGATTAGGGTGTCGAGCGGCAGGATCTGACGCGTCACCTATGGCCTCGTAAGGCTCGAGCCGCAACTCATACAGCATGGCTGGAAACTGCTGCCTGGTTAGAGCTTCATGACAGCTGATTCATTTCATGTTTCCGTATTGACAGCGCAGCTGGTTGCGATCGGAGACGATAGCTGAAACGTTTTGGAATGCGAGACGCCGGAATCCAATGCCATTCGCAGCGAGGACGGAACTCACACCTGCCCGGATGACAGCCATGTGGCACAGCCGCACTGCGAGACCACCGGCCCGAGCCTCCACCGTGGGACCACGGGACCGCGGGGCCGCGAGACCGCCGCTTCGCGGGCCGCGAGACCGGCCCGGCGGCGTCTCCGGCCGCTGCGCCCGCGGTGCTCGCCCGCCGTCGGCTACCCACCCGCTTGGCCGTACATCTTCTGCCGCTGCTGCTCCAGGGCGCGCATGTACTGCTCCTCCCTGGCGCGCCGCTCCTGCTGCTGCTTCTTGAAGTAGTAAGCGCGCAGCGTCTGGATGGCCTTGGGAATCATCAACAGCACCTCGTTGTCCGTGGCGGTGGGGTTCTGCGGAGGGCGGCGCGGTGTCAGCGTCACTGACCGTGTCAGGGGTGGTTGAGATCAACGCCGGTGTGTGGAACAGAGCATGAAACAGGCGCGGCGTTGTGCGGCTTACGTAGCTGAAGAAGGCGCACCACCCGAACGGAGCCTGACGCGGCAAACCCCAGGGCAGCGGAAGCCATAACGGGATCGCATGACAAAGCCATTAGCATGGACTTCCGCCAGCCGTGCCTACTATTCCCGCATCCACCACACACCAGAAACCACAGCGGCAGGTGCACAGTGAGACAAACCCACACACACACATTTCACATGCATATAGCAGGTTATCTTGTCACTTAGTAAACCGCACGGTGCTGGCGTGTGAAGCCCTTGACATGCAACTGGGCGCTGCAACGTCCAGTCCCCACATGACACCAGCGCTGGCTAGCCTGTGCACAACTCACGTCATTTTTGATCATCTGGATGACAGTGGCCTTGTCGATGGCTTTGCCGTCGATCAGCGGGATGGTGTCGCCCACTGAAAACAAAGCCACAGCATCTCGTCACGTTCGGCATCGTCGCCCAGCACGGCCGCAGTTCAGCGGGCCAGCAGCTTCCATGAGCACCAGGGCGGATCGCTGACAAGTTCGGAGCACGCAGACATCGACTGCGAACGCGAGCGGGAGACAAGACAGCACATCGACGGAACCTGAGGGACCTAACTTGATTTCTACCGCACCTTCCAAATGCTACGTTGCCGTCATCATGGCGTCACCAACGAAGGCAGGTGTGGACCCGCGCGGTATTGTCACACCGCGCACCGTCGCCCGATCCAACTGCCAGCCGGTCACCACGCTCTGCACCAACTGTAGGCACTGATGGTCCGCGTGCGCCCGCCGCGCGCCCTCTGTCGCCACCGACAGGCGACCGTGAGCCTCTGGCCGGTGTTGGGGTGTTGCGGCGCCGCGCCCCAGCACGCCCGCCGTCGGGGGGGGGGGGGGGGGCTGACCGTTGGGCACGCCGCGCTTGTCGTTCTCGTACTCTTCCCAAGCGGCACGCTGCTCGTCCGCGTTCAGCTCCTCGTCTACCAGGTTCTGCAGGAGCGAGTCGTGGCCGTGTACGCTGCAGACCCATTGGCTCTGCTCCGAGGCCAGCTCCATCAGCATCAGGTCGTCCTGGACACAATCATACGCCACATTAACACATGGCCGGCCAACTTCATAAGCACCAGGTCGTCCTGGACACATCCATACGTCGGATAATATATGGCTGGCCAACTCCATCAGCGCCAGGTCGTCCTAGACATACTCACACGCCGCATTAACATATGGCCAGCCAGTGGCATCAGCACCAGGTCGTCCAAGGTGCATGCAAATTACATTAACCCACGAAAGGCCCTACCCACTGCCATGAGTCATCCAGGGCACACGCACCGCGCATGCGGAGACACGGCTCAAGAACGCGCCACAACAAATCGCAGTTGCTGTTGACGCCAGTTTGTTTGGTCTATATATACGCAGCTCTCGTCTGGCGAACCCCACGTCAGGCAGTGTTCCCCGCCTGTCCTTATACAACAGGCTGGACGGCTCGGCGTCGGGAGAGTCGTCAGCGCATCACAGTGGTGTGGCCGAGGTCAGCGTGACATTCCCACAGGCCAGTGCAGCGGTGCGGCCAGGGTCGGCATGCCATCACCACAGGCCGGTACAGCGCGCCGCGCGCTCGCACCGACCGGGAATCTCCAGCGAAAGGGAGGCGAGCCATGCAGCAGTCAATCACACATGCAAATCAGCCCCCCCCCCCTCCCCCGTCCCCCGCCATTTGCATCCCTGGCTCGGGGCGTGGCCGACCCGGGGGAGGCGGCGCGTGAGCCGGCCAGCAGCCTCCACCGATCCCAGCGCGGCAGGATGGCGCCAGCAGCCCTCCCACCTTGGGCACGACGAGGCCGGCCGTGCGCTTCCGGTCCGGCTCGAACTCGTACAGCTCCTCGACGTCGTGCTGGTTGAAGTGCCGCTCCACCTGCTGCTCGTCCACCACGCGGCACGCCAGCGAGAGCTTGGTGATCTGGCGGTCGTAGATCTTCTCCTCCATGCAGCCCTGCCGCCGGAGAAGCCGCGTCAGTGGGGACGCCTGGCGGAGCGGTCGTGAACTACGCCACCCACGGCGCCCAGCAGACGTGCTCCATGCCGGGATGGGAATGTTTCGTGAGACAAGTCATGTGGCCAAACGTAGATGAACAAGCAGCTGGACAGGCATACCACAATAAGAAAGTGGCCGTAAGGGCTTCAGTTGCAAAAGCCTTCTCGCAAAAAAGAACGCCACAGGCGGAGACAGAGACCTGAATGTGCCAACACCAGGGTAGTCCTCACACGGTGCATGCAAAACTGCACAAAAGCTCCCAAAAGGGTAGCTGGTACCAACATTAGGGGCATGTGCATGCACTGCACATGGCCACCTTCTATCCCACAACAGAACAGTAGCCGCACATTCACATCCGCCAGTCAGTTGCCAGCTAGCTGTGGGACGCTCCCCCCCCCCCCCCCCCCTCCTCGGCCACCGCCGTCCTCTCACCTGTGCGATGAACCGGTAGACGTAGCAGGGCTTCTCCTGGCCGAAGCGGTACACGCGGAAGATGGCCTGCGAGTCGGCCGTGGGGTTCCACGAGGCGTCGAAGATCACCACCCGGTTGGCGCCCACCAAGTTGATGCCGAGCCCTCCGGCCTTAGTGGAGATCAGCATCAGACGGGCCCTGCGGCGGCCGATCTCCAGGTCACAGTACGTCCTCACCGGGGTCACGGAGGCGTCACAAGGTCTCAGCGCGTCCCAGGTCATGGTTCGGGGTCATGAAACGCTAGTGGTGTGTCACGAACTCACGGCGCGGTCCGGCGCGCAACAGGGTATCGATCTTCGAGGTCCGGGGACATCACAGGGTCATCAAATGACTTCACCAAGAGGTCGTAAGTCCATCACAATGCCATAGCGCGGCCCAGCCCAGGGCACCGCCTTGCAGAACTGTCGCGGGTGTCATCCAAGACTGCGGGGTGGTCTGACACGCTGCACCATCGGTCCAGGTCGGACCGGACGTCACCGCGCGACACGGGTTCCGCCAGTCACCACACCGAGGCGACCCGCCGGCTTGGCCGTCCGATAGCCCTGCCACATCACGGCACGACGGACGGGCGCACCACGGACCGCCCCACGGCACCCACCACCTCGTACAGAGACGCCATCACCCCTCCCCGGCAGAAGTGACACCTACCCCTTACCCCTCGTCGGAGGCCTGGTTCACGCCGTTGCACGAGACCCGGGGATGACCCCCCCCCCCCCTCACCTCTCGTTGGAGGCCTTGTTGATGCGGTCGCACATGAGCTGCCGTCGATCTTCCGGCGTACTGCCGTCCAGCCGGAAGTAGTCGTAATCCGGCTTCCAAGTGCCGAAATAGACGTGCGACGGGTGCTTGTCGGGCCCGTTGCGCCGCTTCTGCATCTCCCGGTGCAGCCGCGCCAGATGCTCCTCGATTAGGTTCAGCGAGAAGAGAGACTGGCTGAACACCAGCCTGCGGACCCACAGAGGGTACGGCGTCAGCGCTGGTGCAAACACAGAATTTGGTGCTGGTGCCCAGTCGAGCTTAACACCGCCGTGAAGACGCTCTCGAGTGTGGTGCTGGCAAAGCGCGCACAGCAGGACCCGTGGGGGGGGGAGGGGGGCAGACAAGTGAACCCGGCGCAGCTCTGTCCGATATCGGGACACACGGGCAGGACCAGTCACTGACAAGCCACACCAGGGCCGTCCGGCTGCCCGCCCGCCTCCCATCAAATCGCCAGCAGCACCAGCGGCGCCCACACGCTGCCGGGCGACGACTGACACCGGCCAGGTGCGGCGGCGTCGCTCCGTCCGGGAGTGGGTCACTGACACGGCGGAAGGCATCCCTCTCACAGGGCAGCTGGTGAGCGTCCGCCCCCTGACACAGCAGGGGTGCGCGTCACCGCCGGGCTCCGAGCCTTCCGCCGCACCGCACACCGCCCGTCCACCAACCAAGCACCGCCGCACGGAGGCGGGAGTACAGCGCGTGGCCCGCTCAGCACCCACTCAGCACCCGACGGGGCGCAGGGCGGCGGGCGCGCGGCGCACACTCACAGCTTGTCTCCGATGTTCTCGCACTTGATGAGCAGGTCGTTGAGCAGGGTGAGCTTGCCGCTGAGCGAGGGGTCGTCCAGCTCGACACCATCAGGGATGCAGGGCCGCCACCACTCGGGCTCCGGCGGGCCGGCCTCCGCTTCGCCTGCCGGCCGGTCGCGACACACGCCGGTACAGCAGGCGCAGAGCGGCCGGCACGGCCAGCGCCAGCCGGCACGGGCGGCATGGGGATCACGGGCAGCGCCAGCCGGCACGGGCGGCAGAGGGGTCACGGCCAGCGTCAACCGACACGGGCGGCAGTGGGACCACGGTCGGCGCCAGCCAGCACGGGGGGGGGGGGGGGCAGAGACTGCAGGGCGCTGGGCGAGGCACAAGTGAACATGATGACACGGGGTCGGAGAGACTGTACAACAATTCCGATGCATGTTCCATTTTATGGAAGGTGGCAATGGACTTTAAGACGCGTGAAACTGTTTAACGACATCCGCGACTGAAGCACCCGTCCACAACCTCAACCGTTGCCTCACACTGGACTCGTAATAAACACACGCTTTCAGGCAGGGCAGAAGTTAACACCACAACATTGCTGGGAAAACGAGTTAAACAACCGCCAAGACCTTGCAACGCATAACCGCGCTCGTTTGGGTGAAACCAATAGCACTGTAGCACATGCGTAGCCGCGCTCACTAGGAAAAGAACAGCGAAAATGATGACGCTCGCGACCAACTGGCATGTAAACGCGAAACACTCAGTGTCAGATGGCCTATCTCGAATATGGCGCGTTCACCGACTTCCGCTGGGGATGTCAGCCAACGGCATAATGTCCCCCTTATGCAGCAGGTGGTGGGATAGGCCGCAGCCCGCGGCCCGTCGCCGCCAGCCGGCGCCGCGTCGCACCTTCCTTCTTCTCATCGCCGCCCGAGCCGCTGTCCTTGGCGGTCTCCTCCCCGGATGTCGAGGCGTCGTCGTCGGCGACGAACCGCTCCATCGCCTCCCGTTCCGACTTCTGCAACATGCGCAACGTCACGTTAGCGCGCCGTCGAAACGGACGCAGTTTTCCAAAAAAGAGCGACCGTGGATACGCACTCAAATGCCCTCAGCTACTTCTCACGCTGTACGATCATACGATCCTGTCCGTAAGTCAGACAAGATCGTATCGCCCGCCTTTAATAAAAATAGTTCCGACAGGAAAACGTCTCCCTCGGTCCTCACCAGTTCATCTTGGATCTCGTCTAGCTCGTCCTTCATCTGGATAGTGCGCGGGTGCGTCCACACGCGGCTCAGCGCCTGGAAGTCGGCCAGCACGCGGCGGGACGCTTGGCGCGCCTGCGTGGCCAGGTACCCGGTGTACAGCTTGCGCTGCACTTCGCTCAACCGCACTAGCACGGTGAACTCAAGCTTGGGCGGCAGGAACGGCGTCAGCACGTTGTAGTCGCGCCGCTGCACAGGCAGGGAGGCGGTGTATCGTCAGACAGGGAAGACACGCAGCCGGAGGCCCGAGTCCGGCACAGGTCAGAACGTGGACGGTGGACAGGCGGGCCGGTCGGTGCCCCACGGGCGGGGCCACCGTCAGACACGGCGGCCCGAGTCCGGCACAGGTCAGAACGTGGACGGTGGACAGGCGGGCCGCTCCGTACCCCACCGACGGGGTCACTGTCCAAAGGTCTCCCTGGAAAACAGCACCAAACGCGAGGAACATAATCTTCGATAAACTGGCGACGCATCGCGCCGTGTCCTTCACTCGCCCACACTCCAGCACCGCCGTCGAGCAGAGCTCACCGCCGTCGAGCCCCCGACACGGCACATCACACCGCGTCTCCTCGCACCACACCGCGGCGTGCGACGCACCTGGACGACGCTGTCCAGCAGCTTGTGCAGCACGTGCGAGCGCCGCTTCATGAGCCTGACGTCGCGCGGTTGGGCATCCACGGCCGACCCGTTCTCGATGGGTCGGATGAAGCGGTTGCTGAACTCCGACTCGCTGCCCAGCAGGCGGGGCTTGACGAACTCCACCATGGTGTGGTCTGCGCGGGAGAGCGGCGGGCTCAAGACGGGACGACAGGCGCGGCTCAACAACCGCCTGCCGTCTTGTCTGTACGTCCAATTTGAAAATGGACAAAACAGGGTTCTGCCACACCTGTTATGGGCAAGCTGAATAATAAGTGAATAGCACTACCGAAGAACTTCAGTTGAGACTGCCGTCCGCCCCCCGTCAAAGCCATGGTGAAAACCTCATGGTCATCCCAACTCACGCCATGGGCATGCTCGCTGAACCACGCATCGCTTTGGACTGCATGGCGCGTCAACACCCGTCTGCGGCCACCCAGCAACGTTCTCCACAATGACCGGCGGTGTTTCGGGCGGACTCACACTCGCGGAGGTTGTTCTGCAGAGGCGTGCCGGTCAGGATGACGCGGCGCCGACACTTCATCTGGTGCAGGCTCTTGAAGGCGGCCGTGCGCGGGTTCTTCAGCAGGTGGCCCTCGTCACAGACGACAATGTCGGGTCCTGTCCGAGAGCGCAGCCTGATCAGAGGGGCACGCACACTGGGGAGGGCGACGCTGGCGAGAAGAGAGCACGGCTGGATGGCCAGAAAGCGCACAGCCGCCCATGGCATCTACGCCATGATCGCGCTCCTGATCGGGAGCATCGTAAGTACCGTCGGAGAGCGCGGGGCGCGTGACCAAGGCCCACTCCGTAACTCTTGTTCTGAGAACACGATCCACCAGCGCTGCTCCGGAATGCAGCGGTCCGACAGCAAAGCATCTAAAAGGTATCACACTCATCCCAGAACGTACCAGGCGAGCAGAGCACAGCAGCAAATAAAACGCGGTGGGGCAACACGAGAGCCCGCCGCTGCTCATCACTGGGACCTTCACACCGTCGGCACGGCCAGACACCACAGCCGCGATAGCTCACACTCGCAGCGTCGTCGTCTCTCCCCCCCCCCCCCCCCCCCGACGGGTCCAACACCGCGATAGAGCCCGCACCCCACAGGGCTGCAGCGGCTGGCGGTCAGGACGCCACGTACCCACCCAGTGGCCCTGGTGTCGGTCTGCCGCCGGCCTGCCTCCCGCCACCTACCAGGGTCGACCAGAGCCTTCTGGAAGCGGTCCTTCTGCTTCTTGACGTAGCCCTTCTTGCCGCCGGTGCCGCAGAAGCGCTTGTACATGTCGTAGCTGAGCACGCACACGCCGCCCTCCGTCCGCCACTCCTCCAGCTCGAACGAGCGCTCGTAGTTGTCCTTGCGGCTGACACAGGGCCCAGGTCGGTCAGAGTCGAGTGGGGGTAGCTCATCGCGGAGTGGAGTAGGATAGAGCAGGGCTCCGCTGGGCTGGGCTGGCAGTACGGTTGGAAACAGCAGCAAACAACAACAAACAACAGAGTCGAGTGCGATGAGTGACAGAGTATGGCCTAAGCGCATGGGGAGAGAACCAACCCAGAAAATTTGATCCAAGGCCTACGACGTGCACGCGTAAGGGACAGGAAGCAGTACAAAATATTAAGAAATTGTGCACAGCTTGCACAAACACCAACCCATGGCCAAAAGACCAAACACCAACCCATGGCCAAAAGACGTTTGAAGTTCGAAGACAAGCACTCTATGACAGACGCCCAACGTTACGTAAATGGGCTAATGATAGGTAAGGCCAGCAAAGGCTGCGGAATGCCGAAAATCAGTTGCACAGCACAGAAATTCCATTTCATACAGTACGAGGTGACTTCTACGACAATCCCATGCAATCATGTTGGGCGCAGGGTACACCTGCGCAGGGCTTGCCGGCGTGAGCTCACAACGTGATATCGATGACGTCCACCTCCGGGACGCGGCACCTCTTCTGCCACTGCTTCAGTTCGCGGACCCAGTTTTGCACGGTGTTCTTCGGGCAGACGACCAGCGCGCAGGCCATCTTGCCTCGCGTTTCGGCGCTGTCCAGCAGCGTGTGCAGCAGCACCACCACCTGGCCGGCCGGGTCAGCGGGGTCAGAGGGGTCAGCAGGGTCATCGGGGCCAGCGAGTCAGCAGGATCACGGTGTCAGCAAGGGCACGGCCCATGGGGTCAGTGGGGTCACAGGGTCGGCGGAGTCACGGAGGCCGCGGGCACGAGGCAAGTTCAAATGATCCGTTAAGGCATGGTACCAGGGGCAATCGTATCCACAATGCTAATCCCCCACACCTGTAATGTATCCGTTACTCCCACGCCCGCATCTAGAGCATTCGAACCTGCAGCCTTTACAGAGACAGCCTTTCGGCACCGCTGCACCGCAGGCCAGCAATGGAACAGTGTATCGGCTGGCGATGCCAGGAAGCAGCGGGGACAGCATACTGAATCATCAAAACATGCGCGCCTGTCGATCTGTGTCCAGCCTAGCCAGCACCGCGTCGGCATCCACGCATCTATGCTCGTGATGACATGCTTTCTTCCAATCTGTATTGCATTGAATACCGTAAAGCAAGCACAATCGGCTCTCATTGACCACGTTCTTTACTAAAAACGAACCCAGGGATAGCTCGATCCGCGAGTTTCTGCCCGCAATATGACCGCGGTCAATCAAACTCCAGAGCCACCGAGGCCAGGGGGATCCGACCCCGCGCTGGCCGCGCCAATCCGGCGGCGGAGCCGGTGCAGAGGCCGGCCGGCCGGCCGGCGCCCGCACCTGCAGCGTCTTGCCCAGGCCCATGCAGTGGGCCAGGATGCAGCCCGAGTTGTCCGTGTTGCTCTCGTCGTGCAGGCGAGCCACCGTCTCCACGGTGCAGTCGAACATGAACTTGACGCCGTCCACCTGGCGAGGAAGCGGGCCGGCTGACCGGGGCGGGACGGCACCCACGCACGTCACGGCGCCAGGCTGCACGCGCACGCACGCGCCCGCGCACGCACAGGCAGCGTTCGGCGTGGCACTGTACCGAGAATAACGTCGGTAGTTACAAAGGTGGTGACCGTGATGCTCTTGGCAACGCGTTCCGCTGAGGGGATCAATTTTTTAAAGCGGAGGTTAGAACACATGCGGAAAACCGTGACGGTTGAATAAAAAAATACAATGGTTGAAATAGGCACCAGCCGACTGGGACCAGCCAACATCATTCGAATTTATGTATGGCATAATTTCCGGCGGCTCCACAAACCCGTGATGTTCAGGCGTCCAAGCAATTTGGCGCCAGCAGGACACAGTCACCATTCAAAAAGCTGGCACGGTAATTTCAGAACGCTGTCAATGCGACCACGTGGCGGAAGCGCCTGAGCTAGCGGGATCTCTCGCGGGACCGTTCGGTTAATGACCTTTCATCAGTAGAAAAAACAGCATAGTTGAACGCCATGTTACAGCCATTACCACCATACTAACCTTGCTTACATAACTGACCATTCCAATATGTTTTTGCGTTAAAGTGCGGAGAATGAAGGCACAATCTCTCAATCTTCTTTTTTGCGGTTTTCGCCCAGTGTAAGACGTTTTGAGGCAGCATAACTGCACTGTACAACATACATGCCTGAAAAACCAAACGTCCTGTTCGTGGCGGTCATAGCAGTGACATGAAGGCTTATCGAATAGGCAGGGGAACGAAAGTGGAAAGTTTTGTTATTTAAAAAATCATGCCATCAATGCCCAAGCCCGAGAGGAAATCAAGTGTCTCAACGAACAGCACTAGCCATACCTGATGCGGCTTCAGAATCTTGACAAAGTTCTTGTGCACGGACACTAGTGGCTTCTTCTTTTCCGGATCAAAGTCGAGGATCAGTTTGTTCAGCGCCTCCGGCTCCGATGAAGCGGACTCCATTTGGAACAGCTCATTATACTGAAAGAGAACCGGCACGCCAATTAAAATATCCGTTTACAATACCCACCAGCAACGCCAGCCGAGCGCCTGTTTTGCGCGTTCCTACCACCGATCGCAACATCACCGCGGATCGCGTAAGGCAGCACGCCGACATTTGTCGCCGACACATAGCAGCGATACCCGCAAGCCCTCCTCCCCCCCCCCCCCCCCCCCCACACACACACAAACACATACGCTTGCCGTCGAATGCCGCGGAGGCACCGCCGGCTTACCCTGGCCTGCTTCTCCTCGATGCGTTTGCGGCGCGCCAGCTCGGCCGCCGACGCCTCCTTGGTGGAGAGCTCGGCCTGCCGGATGTGCCGGATGTTCTTCCGACCGCCCTTGGATGGCGTGCCCTGCGGCGGCGGCGGCACCAGAGGCGAGGGTCAAGGCATGCGTCCGGCAGGTTGATTTAGCGCTGAACTTGTGTCCGGTTCATGTTGCCCACTTTGAGCATGAATTACACATGACACTTGTTTCTGGACACATAACGGGTTCAGTCTTTGTCATACCTTTAAACTGATCTTGGATAGTTGTCCCGATAAAGAAATCGGAGTCGGGTCAAATTCATTTCAGTTCATTTTTTGTACAAAAAAGGATTACGTCGTCAGGCACCCTGTTGTGGCGCGCCAGCGACTGCAGTGGTCACATGAGCACTCAGGGGCCATGGCACAACCGATATTTGAACCCAGGCCGCAACGTGGGAGCCCGAGGCGCCGACCACTTGGACATTACACCCCCAAAGAGGGAGCCAGGTCAGAGTGCACGCACGAATTCACATGCTGGTAACCGACAAAACAAGCCAGCCCGCACCGGGCGGCGGCCATTTAGCGCCGCGCCGGAGCGTCGGACAGGGCCCGCGCTCGCGGAGCGGGCGGCGGCCGAGGCGCACCTGAGAGTCGGCCTTGATCTCAGTGACGCTGTCGTCGCTGTGCTCGGAGGACCCGCTCTCGTCGCTCATGCGACGGATCCGCTTCAGGCGAGCCCGCGAACGCGTCTTCTTGGCCGGCTTGAAGTCGTCGGCGCTGTCCTCCGACTTCGCGGAGGACGAGGGCGAGGATGAGGACGATGACGATCGCGCTCGCTTCTTGGAGGACGGTCCGGCGGCGTCCTCCGCGTCCGAGTCGAGGACGCAGAGGTCCGAGTCAGAGTCGTCCAGCACCATGACGCGCCTCTTTCGTGGAGTCCTGGGCCGCGGAGGCAGACAAACAGATGAGTCGGGCAGGGTACGCTGACAAAGACAAGCCAACAGGCCGACAATGAGTCGAGGACAATTGTTACGTCGCGGGGGAGACAGATGAGCGGAACGGAGCCTCCAAGAGCGCAGGCAGACATGCAAAACGGACAGACGGTGGCAACACGAAGAGGCGGTGGCAACACGGACAGACGGTGGCTGCACGGACAGACGGTGGCAACACGGACAGACGGTGGCACCACGAACAGACGGTGGCAGCACGGACAGACGGTGGCAACACGGACAGACGGTGGCAGCACGGACAGACGGTGGCAACACCGACAAACGGTGGCAACACAGACAGACGGTGGCAACACGGACAAATCGCGGCAACAAGAAGACGGTGCCATCACGAACAGACGGTGGCAGCACGGACAGACGATGGCACCACAAACAGACGGTGGTAGCACGGACAGACGGTGGCAGCACGGAAAGACGGTGGCAACACGGACAAACGGTGGCAACACGGAGACGGCGGCAACACGGACAGACGGTGGCAGCACGGACAGACCGTGGCAACATGGACAGACGGCGGAAACACGGATGGACGGTGGCAACACGGAGACGGTAGCCACACGAACAGACCGTGGCAACACGGACGAATCGCGGAAACAAGAAGACGGTGGCAGCACGGACAGATCGTGGCAACACGGGCAGACTGTGGCAGCACGAAGGAACAAACCGTGACAGCACGGACAGAGCAGGCAGGCGGCTGGGTCAGTTGGCAGCAAAGTACAACCGAGGCACGGAAGACACGCTGCCAGACCAGATTCAGGTGCACCAGCCGGAAAGGACAAGCACCAGCGAGGAGACTAAGGTGGGAGTCAAAGCCACACAGTACAAGTTTTCCATGGCCACAAACAGAATGGGATACAGACAATAGTTGATAGTCGGCGACACAATGACGGGAAATTCTAACGATAAAGGAGGCGATGCGCCCCGGCTATGGACCGCGACCGGAGATTGTACATATCAGCCTGGCAAACGACCTTTTGATGACAACGGGGGCCATATATGTTGCAGGGCAGTGAAAAGCGCCGACAGAATGGACAACATCAATACTGACTATGAAAGGGAGTGAACATGCATATTGGATCCCAAAATATTTGAGATTACACGCGTCATGTACTAAGATGCACGGTTTGTAATTCCTTCCCTCATGGTCATAACAAGGCGGTTCAGCGTTACCGTTTATTCTCTGTCACTTCGTCTTCTTCGGATGACGACAGCTTCAACAGCTTTGGCAGCTCATCTGGAACATTATCTTCTTCCTCTGATTTTGCGTCTAACTCGCCCTCTTTATCTTGAGCCTTTTCTGCCTCCTTTTCCCTCTTTATAAGAACCTTTGATCGCATTTTTTCATCCTCTTCGCTTGAGTCCGTGGCGCTTAACTTCCCGTTAAGAAGCTTTCGCACGCGCGTGGGAAGCCTTTTGCGGTCCTGAAGAAAATTAAAAGAGTCACGGTAAGTCAGGCAACCATATCGCCACCTGCCCGAACGCTGTTCCCTTTTGTACGTTAGGTAATAAGTGGTTCAAACCAGAAGCATACCACAGGAGAACTTAACAGACCAACATCGACCCATACGGATGGCAAAATATTGCTGGATGTGCTGTCGGATCAATCGAAACGGTGCGTCTAAAACGGGGCTATTGCACACATCCAAGACCAGCTGAGCGGGCCAGGCTCACCTTGCTTTTATCCTTGGCTTGAGAGCCCGATTCGTCTTCGCCATCCGTTTTGTTGTCCTCTTCGTCCTCGTCACTCTTTAATTTGTCGTCGCCCTCATCCTCCGACTTATCCTCCCGCTTTGTCTTCTTCTTAAGTTTGTCGTCTTTTCCCTTTTCCTTTTGTCCTTTCCGATTTTTGGTCTTGGACTTCCTATCGCTCTCGCTGGGCACGAAATCAGAGTCGTCATCGTCTTCGGATGTTGAAGAAACTGTGAAAGCGATGTGTGTTAGCACTTCACTGTTATAACAGCGCAAGGATGGACCGTTATATCTGTACGATCAATTTATGTACCGCTGCTGGTAGCTGCGCAACACAAATATGCCCGCCTGGAGCAGAATCCGCGACTGCGACATGTCATCGCAAAGCACGTTTTCGCACGTGCACCCTCAGTCAACAACTGTGCCCACCCTCCACAATATACCAGGAACAATGCCTTCCCGGGCGACCGTACCACAGAGCGATGCTCACAATAACGGCGTCCCCTCTTATCCTCAGTCTTTCCCGATTCCCAGAATGGTAGCCAGATCCCGGCTCCGAGCAGCAGCAGTGGAACACGAGGCGGCTCGCGGCGGACGCGCCGGGCGCCACCCGGCCGTACCGTCGTCGTCGCTGCTGCTGGCAGAGCCGGACGCCATCAGCTGGTCGCGGTCGAACTCATTCTCAGCGAGCGGCAGCGGCGGCGGCCGGCCGGCGTCGCTCTCCTCGGCGGTCGATCCGGCGCCGTCCTCGCCGTCCGAGCTCATGTCCCGCAGCGAGGCCTTCGGCTTGGCGGCCGAACTGAGCGGCGGCAGGCGGGTCAGACGGCAGCGGCAGGGCCACGGTCACGATCCGGGGCATGACTCACGGGCTGTGTTCGGGTCAGGTCAGGCGGGTCAGACGGCAGCGGCAGGGTGAAGGCCATGGTCCAGGGCACGGCTCATGAGCTGTGCTCAGGTCAGGTCAGGCGGGTCAGAGGGCAGCCGCTGAGCCCGCCTAACGAGGTACCATCAGGAGGCCCGTGTCAGATCGGTCTCGGGAGGCAGCAGCCGGGCCGGAGTTGGAGTGTAGGGACGGCGTGCGCGATCTGCCTTTGGTCAGGCCCCGCTCAGGCCCCGCTCACGCCGGCCGGCGAAGACAGTCGCAGGAAAAGGGTAGTCTCTACGGCTAGTCGGCACGACGGCTAGTCTCTCGGACATAACGGGATCACTACGAAGAACGTTCAGGTCGGGGTCGTCAATCATTCAGTCCGCTCTCACACGCTTCCCGTAGACCATTGGTCACCAAATGACCCAACAGCTTTGCCCCCCCCCCCCCCTCCCCCCGAAAGAAAGGGCAGCTTGGCTGACAACCACAGATAGTTGACAGAACGTTTGACGCAGTGAATTTTCATTTGGGCTTCGGCACGCTGCTTTCACGAAGCTGATTAGTACCGCGCGTAATCACACAGCATTTGGCGCGCCCTAAGCGCAACACCTCAAGACGTCAATGTATGGAGCACAATTTAAACATGATGTTAGGAACATAAGCACAGCCATTTGACCTCTTAAAAGGCCTGTTGGAAATCGGGTATGGGTATGGTGATATGATGATCTGGCGGTATGGATATGGTGATAATGTCCTTGTTTTGGAAAGCATTGGACCCCTAAAGGGATAGGGCACGCACGTTTCTGAAAGTAGAGGTAATGTCACGTGAGTGTAAATCATACGTCTCAGTATTCGGCCATCTCCGGGTGCGGGAGGGTGTAAACGTGCGGGATAGAAGGGGGGGGGGGGGACGGGGGGACGGAGAAAAGTTAATTACTCAGACCCAGTGTTTTGATCCGCGTTGTGCAGCGTGGATGTGGATAAGGGCGTTCTGGGACTGAACTGTGTGATACACATCCCCTCTTACGTTGTCTTCTCCTTTCACGATTTCAGAAACTTTCTGAAATCGTTAACTTTTATGTCACTCCAACACAACAACAGCCATAGCTACAGTTAAGTAAAATTTATAGAGAGCGGTCCTGAATGGTTTGACGTTTGCATAAAGTGAATATCACGAAGTAAAGCAACATAGCTGGCAAATGAAGGCAAAGTCAACAAACTGCAGATTCATGTTAATGTTGCTTTACTGCTCACACTTCGAGGAAGTCTCAGTATCATGAGAAATATGCATCCTAACAGCCCCTTGCACAACACATAGGACGCGAAAGGTCAGAAAAGATCATGTGATGTCATACATCACGATGTTGGCGGATGTTGCGTGCTTACCGAGTAGTCCGCTTCTGCACTCTCCTGGGCTTCTTCCGGCGAGCAGAGTCAGAATCGTCGTCCTCTGAATCGTCAGCAGAGATATTCTTCGCCGACGAGGATCGCAGGAGAGCGTCAATGTTGGTTAACCTGAAAATGTTAACAGGCGTGAAGATTATGACAAAGATGAGAGGACAAATATTCGGCAACACCACAAATAGCGGGCAGAGAACGACTGCAGTCCTTTGGATGCACCACATAGGTTACAGCAATGATAAGGCTAAAAATGTTCTATTTGAGACAAACAGATACATGTGCTGCAGAACAATGGCCAACAAAAGCTGCTGAAGTATACTTAGTTTATCTCCGCATCAAACAAACCATACCTGAACCTGGCCGCAAAATACGGAGAAAGTCGCTTCTCATGACTGTCATGATAGATAGAGGCATATAAGCCTTCTAAAACAATATCACATTCTCATGTTCAATCAGACAGTGGGACTATTAGCCACGCAATAAATACGCCGAGCAACAGAGGTTGTGAGAGAAAACGAGCTAGATTTCGAGGCGCACGCACAAAAACAAAGGAGACGGAACGAAGAGGGGGGATACATAGCTAGAGCACGATGCGATAAAAGGAGAGAGACGTACGGCAACCGGCAGTGCTGCCTACCGTCTCCTAATTCACGCCGTGCGCCTCCTAATTCACCTGCGCATCTCCATCTCCTCCTTGGAGAGACGCTTGGTGACGCGGCGGGTGATCCTCACGGAGCCCCTCTTGGCCGCCTCGCGCACCATGGCGCCCGGCAGACGGTGGAGCAGCACGCAACAGTCGGCCGATGCCTCGGGCGGCCCAGCCGGCGCCCACCGCCGCTTCCCTACGCGCCGGCCGCCGCCCGCCCGCCGCCCCCACCGCTGCGACCGGCCAGAGCTGGCGCTGCTCGACCGCGCCGCCATCTCGTCCTCGGCAGAGGACGAGCCGCTCTCCGTGCGCTTCCTGCGTGCCGGCCGGGCTGGCGCCTTGTCCTCCTCCGAACTGGAGCGACCGCCACGGGGTTTGCCGCGTCTTGTTGCCCTGATTGTCGCCTGGTCTTCCCCCGCGTCCGAGTTGTTGTCAGCGGACTCGCTGTGTTTACACGGAATCGCTGTTTTGTCATCTCCTGAACCAGCGCCGTTGTCTACCTGTTCGGCGGACTTCGACCGAGTTGCATTTTTGTTATCTCCAGAGTCCAAGTCGTCTGGATTGTCTAGATTCGACTGAGCCACTGTCGAGTCAGAGTCACCTACTCTGTCGGGTTCCGACAGTCCCGCTGTTTTGCCATCGCCAGAGTCGGAACCGCTGACAGCGGGTATGCCTCCCGCCCTCTGACGCCGCGATCGGGCCGTCATCTTGCCCTCTCCGCCGTCAGCCCGGTTGCCTCTGCGCCGGCGCCTAGGCCACGTTCTCACTGCGCCATCACCAGAGTCCGTGGCGCCGTTCGCCGGTTTGTCGGCGACCCGCTGCCGCAGCGTGCGCCGCACCTCGCCGCCAGCGTCCTCATCGTCACTGCTGGCCAGCAGTGCGCACCGGTCGCGCTCGTTCTGCTCGTCCGGGTCGCACCCGTCCGCAGACAGAGGCCCGTCCGCCCCGCAACAGCCCTCGGCCGAGCTAGGATCGCCGGGCTCCACTTTGACGACGGCCTCCTCTGTTTCCATCAGCTCGGTGACTGGCTCCACTTTGACGATGGCTAGGCCCAGGTCAGCGCCGCCTGGTTCCTCCTGGGACTGGGCCGGTGCGTGCTCGTCAGTCTCGGCGTTGAAATCCGTCAGGTCTGAGTCGCCGTTTTCCAGCGTCGGTTCAGACTTGACCTGGACACCCGGCGAGCCGGGGGCGGGCGAACCGTTGGCCGCCAACTCCGCCACCGCCGCATCGCTGCCGTCGGCGGTCCCCTCTGGCGGCGGCGGCGGGTCGAGCTCGGCACCGTCTGAGTCGCCGCCGTCGGCGGTAGCGGCGTCGCCGTTCTCCGCCGGCGACGCCGGCTCGGGCGTCTCGGGCACCACCAGCGACTCCTGCTCGCCGAACAGCTCGTCGGGCCGCGCCTCCGGACCGCGCATCCGCCGCTCCAGGCGAGCGCAGCGTTTGTCGCGCAGCGGGCCGGCCGGGTCGCGCGCCCACCCGGCGTCCAGCTGCCGGACGGCGTGGTGCAGACGCAGCTGGGCCGAGAGCGCCGAAGCGCGCAGAGAGAGCGCCGCAGCGCGCCGCTCGGCCGGGTCCAGCTGCACCGGCAGGCAGGCCGCCAAGTCACGGCACGCCCGCTTGAGCCAGGCGGCGGCAGCGGCGATGGCGTCCTCCTGGGCCCGCGCGCCCGCGCTGGCGTCCTCCTGGGCCAGCGTGCCCGCGCTGGCGTCCAACTGGGCCAGCGTGCCCGCGCTGGCGTCCTCCTGGGCCCGCGCGCCCGCGCTGGCGTCCTCCTGGGCCCGCGCGCCCGCACTGGCGTCCTCCTGGGCCAGCGTGCCCGCGCTGGCGTCCTCCTGAGCCTGCGCGCCCGCGCTGGCCACCTCCATGGCCGCCGGTTGTGACTGGCGGCGTCAGTGCACCAGTCGGCGGCGAGTGCAGTGGATCTGAGGAGGGTGTCAAGTGAAAGTCGAGTGGAATTGTCCATGCATTAAGCGTGGTCAAACCAGTGACATATGCTAGTGGGTGCATCACTGCATTAATATCAGTAGTTGGTAATCCCCATGTAAATGGCATAGCAGTTGCTAAGTCAACAAAATATGATCAATGGCAGATTAGGCTAATACCCCACCTGGCTTTCATTTATCATGCTATCAAAAAAACCTCATTGAAAAAACTGTCATATATCATAAAGCAATATTGGTTAGGATGACTGTCTAGGCTCTAGAAACCTCTAAATTTTTGGTTTGGATTCACATGGGACAATGATATGTGGGAAGATCGTAGAACGTGTGTTCTTTTAAAGAACACCCAGCAATCAATATTCCTGGTAGCTGCATGGAGATCTTAAACACACCACAGGAGGCCAATGGATAATCACTCCTTGAAGTGTGGCTGAAAAGAATTTTGGCTTAACTTAAGTGAGCATTGTAATGAATATGTAGGTGTAGGTAGTGCATGATACTTAATGAGGTTGCCCTACTTAGCACCTGAAGTCTTAATTATAATACCCATTTATGACATGGAATGACACCACTGAGGGAGGGGGTCTTTCATAGCCATCATTAACCCTCAATCACTTAAACTGATTTCATCTGCACAGCCATTAGCAGCTAGGAGGTCCAAATCAACCAAGTTTTAATTGAGATGAACTTTAACAGTGAAAAAAGTCATGAGATGCAAGTAAAAATATCATTTTTTCCTAGACACAAGAGTATGGTCCAATAACAAACTTTGATACAAATTGCTTCAAATTTCCAATATAATACAAGATACATACCCAAAGGGAGCTTTTAAAGGAATGACATCCCTGCCCCATCCCCTGAGGGGGCACAAGCCATGATGGGCAGAAAAAACTGATTTTTTGCAGTCCCAAATGTCCAGATATTTTTTAAAGCCATTTCCAAGGTTTCCACAAAAGGACTGATCACAAAGTCACCCACATCTTAACTTAAGCCACATAATAACAAAGAGATCCCCAAGCAAAAAGGTCTGCTTCTGACCAAATGTGGCCCTTCCTTGGAAACATTCTAGCTAGAACCCAGTGATCAAATGGGCAAAATTATATTACTGGTTTTGAAAAATCTGGTTCTTGGTCTTGAACCGGAAACCAGGTTTTTGATGGAGCCGGCTCTTAGATGCAAATGCGGATGATAGACAACTGGCAAAAGGGAACCAACTTCATTCCATTCACTTTAAAATTCAGACCTAGATGACCAGCATTTTAAATCACAGGAGAAATTCTGAAATTGATAGGAAGACAGCGAAATAAGGACAACACAAATCTGACCATAATAGATTGAAACCATTTTTCTTCCAGAAAACGAATTTAGCCTGGGCTATCTTTCTGACAGTTTACCCTAAAAAGCCTTTAAGAATTCGGAATAATAGTGGTACCTGACAAGGACATCATTTACAGCTCAAAAACATAGCATTAGGTATGAAGGGGCAAACTGTGTCCTGGGCACAAATTATCATTAAAAGGTTGGTCAAACATTTTTGGTGGATGACCAGACAAAATGAAGGGGAAAATTTGCATCAAATATTGCATTCCTTTGGGACAAAATCAATGATTGGGTTTGAGGGTCACAGCACCTTCTGCTCCAATGTGGAGGGGAGCTACTTCAAACCCTGGTTGCACCAAGGCCAAATTGCTAATGTGACCTCTGCAGTTGTTGGTGTTGCACAAAACTTGTGATAATGCACATCTTGGTCCATTTTGTCCTCAGTAAGCATTACATTCTGCAAAATCTGGTACAGGCCTGGTGCTAGCTAGTCTGTGGCTTGCCCAAGATTATGTGCTTCCCCTATGCCCTCTGCAGAGTGTACACAATGAGCTGAGGGGTAGCCTCCTGTACAAGCAGTTAACATCATTACAAGGTCCATCGAATGGTAGGAACTTGATATGGACCCCAAAGCTCTTACGCCTCAACCGGCTCAAAAAAGCACACGCATTTACACACAGGCAGAATGACGAAAAACACACAAAAAACAATGACACTGCCTGCCAGATATTTGTCATTGCTGTTTTACTTTATCAACAATCACGGCAGCATAAGACGCTTGAGCCCTCCCACCCGATGCACTCCTTCCCGCGTAAAGCCCTTCATCTACGATATCCACGGGATGCTGAGCGCACCACCGTACCTCCTTCGCGCCGCCAACCGCTAGGTGGCGGGCGGCCGCCAGCCGGCAGCAAGCGGCCGCCCGCCCGGCTTTGCGATGCGGCGGCAAGGTGCACCCGAGCAGGCGCAGAAGCGGCTGGCGGCCGGCCGGTCCATAATTGTCAAGACCAATAACCGACCACCCGGCAACTTGGACCCCAAATCTGGTGCAAACGTAAAGCGCATACGTGTGTGGTTAAAAAGCAGAACTGTAACGACCGTCTCATTGCTTTCGGGACCATTCTCACGGATTAGGAGACGCCATTTCGGTTGGATTGCTTCAAGTTCAGTCAGGGACCTCCCTTCAGGTTAGGCCTCAGACCGGCCAAAACGGCACAGACATGGCACGTATGCACGCATGTGACACATAGAGACATGTGTCGACTATTCTATCGCCTTGGGGATTGAATATGCCATTGTACAAGCGGTCTGGGCGGCTGGCGGCCGGCCGGTTGAAAATTGCTAGTATATCAACGGACCTCCCGGCCAATTACGTGCAAGACAATCGAAACTTTTACAGATGTAGCAGGTGTGTATGCGCGTGCGTACACCAGAACCGTACCGACCATCTCATCGTTTTTGGGTTCCAACGTAGATCGCTCCAAGTCCATTCAGGGACCTCCCCGCAGCATGGATGCAAGACCGGCCAAAACGACACAAACGCGGCACGTGTGCACGCATGCGTCATATGGTGGCATGTGTCGGCCATTGTATGTCTGGAGTGACTGGCATTGTTAGGCTTCTCTTTTAAAGCCGCTCTGAGTTACAGACGGCCGCCCGATCGAAAATTGTTTCTAGTCCAACAACGGAGCCCCAAAACAAGTAGGGTGAAAGACCACCCAAACTGGTACAAACGTAGCACGTTTGCACATAGATGTCCAAATGCCGGAGCTGTAACGACCGTGCCATCGCTTTCGGGTCCATGCTCACGCAATATTAGGCACGACTTCAGTTGGATTGCTCTAGTCCAGTAAGAGATCTCCCTACAGGCTGGATGCAAAACCGGCCAAAACGGCACGGGCGACATACGCGTGCACGTGTATGACGCACTCATGTTTGTTTTTTATCATTATCTCACTTTCTGGAATGACATTGTCGTATTTCGATGTCAAAAGTGCTCTGAGTGACGGGCGGCCGCCCGGGCGAGGGTAGGCACGTACCCAGTTATGTATCCCCCACGTTATGTATCCCCCACGTTTTTTTACGCACGGTTGCTAAACGTAATTTTACACGCCGCCAACGTCGCAATGTCATTTCCATTGGTTTTTGAGTGGGACACTTATTATACTAGTGCATCATGTTCTTGACATATCTTGAATGCTAGGACAAGTTGTACTCCTCTACAACGAGGGAAAAATTTTGCATTGGTCATCAGCCATCACCTGATTACATCGCCCAGCCGGCTAACCGTAGGTACATAACCGAGGAATCAAGTCCATGCCTGATTTTGATGGTTGTTGCGGTTGCAGTTGCAGCCAACTCACGTTTATTTTGCATGTTGCTCTAAAACACTAAGGTTCAAAATAACAGCACTTAAAATGATCTGTAGAAAATGAGTGAGCTCTATGTGTATGAATGCGTAGCACTCCTACGCTTCACATGACTGTGCACAGTAATATAGTTTTCAGTATTAATTAAATAAATGAAAAAGTAAGCACATACACTCATAAATATATATATATATATATATATATATATATATATATATATATATATATATATATATATATTACGCACAACTTATCTTAAAATGTAATGACCGTAGTGCAGAGATATTTTTGGACGGGCACCAATGAGCCACAGATGCACACATACTACGTTTGCAAAAGTTCCGGTGGTCTTGCACGTTATTTGTCGGGAGGTCCGTTATTGGACTTGCAATTTTCGACCGGCCAGCCAGACTGCTTGCACAACGGCACATTCAATACCTAAGGGATAAAATAGTCGACACATGTCCCCATGTATCGCATGCGTGTACACGTGCCATGTTTGCGCCGTTTTGGCCAGTTTTAGACCTAACCTGAAGGGAGGTGCCTTACTAGACTTGGAGCAATCCAGCCGAAATGGCGTCTCGTTATGCATGAGAATTGTCCCGAAAGCCATTAGACGGTCGCTACAGCTCCTTTTTTTACCTCAAATGCACACGTACCACGTTTGCACCAGATTGGGGGTGGAGGGTCAAAATTGCCGGGCGGTCCGTTGTGGGACTTGACAATTATCGACCGGCCAGCCGCCAGCCGCTTCAGTGCCTGCTCGGGTGCACCATGCCGCTGCACCGCCACCTGGTGGCGCGAAGGCGCGAAAGAGGTCCCTCAGTGGACCCAGCCTCAATCCTGCCCACACAGAGCGCGACAAACCGCCTGGCACCTTGAAAGGAGGGACTGAGCGGCTGGCCAGGCCTATTGCTGGCCTCACGCTCCGAACCTATGCGTGCTTGTACAGAATCTCGTATCTTGTGAGCTCGGTCAATAACCTATTTTTCCAGAGCATGGTGACATCTGATCAGGTCATAAGTGACCAAAAGCACAAACAAGTCAGAACATATAGTTGCAGATAGCCCTACGCTCTAAGCCTTCGGCACCGACCACCATAAAACCTTTACCAATCGACGCGCCGTAGTCGATATCCTACAACTTGCAGAGCATGAACTTGAAGTGAGGTTTGTTTCCCGACAACTCCATGCTCCGAGCCTATGGGACCGATCGGCAACAAGCATTCACCGACCAATGCGCCCAGCCGGTATCCTATCCTTTCCAGAATAAGGTGGGCATGCGTCTGGTAAGATCACCCGCAACGGCCAAAACCTCCGAAATTGGTTGCTGACAACCACATGCTCCGAGTCTATATGACCGACCAAAATGAAACCTTCGCCACTAGACGTGCCATATTCAATATCGTATCTTTTCCAAAACATGTTGATCTAGTCGCAGGTCAAAGGGTCACCAAAAATACACAAAAAATAGCTGCAGATAACTCCCTGCTCCGAGCCTCCGGCACCGATCAGCATGAAACCTTCACCGAGCGATGCGCCATAGTCCATATCATATCCTTTCTAGAACATGATGACCGTGAGTCAGGTCAAAAATCACCGATAACAGCCGAAACCACCAGAAATTAGTAGTCGGTGCCATAGACTAGGAACATGGGGTTGTCTGCAACACTATTTTTTCGTGTTTTTTTTTGTTATTGGTGACTTATAACCTGACCCAGGGTCACAATGTTCCAGAAAAGATAGGTTTTGATGACGCGGCACCGAATGGTAAAGGTGTCATGCCAATCGGTGCCATAGCCTCGGAGCATGGAGCTGTCAACAGGTTTGGTCGGCCGTTAAGTTCCTCTCCCCCTTGAACAGGCTCGGGCATTCCTTATCTGTTTTCAATACCACACCACACATTGCTGTGCTGCCTTACGAGAGAAAGGCGATCGGAAAGCGAGCCATAGCAACGCTGATTTGCTGCTGTCCATACAGGACAGCCATATTGCGTCATTTTGACATCGAACTGTCGCAGCAGCCCGCAATACATAGTTTAAGAACTTAACGCGACAAGCAGAGCTTGGTACGCGACCTCTGTAAACCCGGGTAATGGAAGAGCTTCATGCCGATAGGGGTGCCAAATTTCATTCTTTTCGCGGGCCCTGGGCCCTATTCCTAATGTTGATTCGCGCTGCCAACAACTGGTCTGATCATCGTCCTCTCGCGGTGTGTTACTTAACATCTGCACGACGTTAGTCCTCTGGCCGTTGTCAAACGCTACTGAGTCGTGAGCAACGCCAGATGGCTCGCGACTTTCAGCAATGTACGCGCCGCTACCCGAATTTTCTCCATGGTATTGCCGCGACTCCAACTGGGATCCTCCGGTCACGAGTTTAGCGTTCTTTCACTAGCCTACAGATAAGGGTCACTGCCAAAAACGAACGGCCGCAATTGTGCAAGTGCTTTTTGCCCTCTGCTACTTTGAATATCACATGATCAGCCCGAGCGTTTGTCTGTCATTGTGATTTTACGACGCGCTCAGTTGCTGAGCCGATCTCTATGGCGTCGCTCATGCCTCTCGCCCTGGCAGGAAGGGCGGCCACCGCGGGGATCCCAACCCCGCGCCTCTGGTTTCCCACACGTTCGAGCCAAACCACTGCATTACCAATACCCCAGCCCGCTGATAGAGGCCATCACTGTCACGTTACCATTGATCGTCCGTCATTACCAGCTGTCGCACACGCCAGCGACAGCAGATGACTGACGTCACCACATCGTCACCTGAGAATGACGCCACCAGACTGCCAACGTCACTCCACCGCGTCATCAGAAACTCACCCACAGCTACACCGCTGTCCGCGGCCGTTAGTCCACCGTACAGCGGTGACTGGTCCGGGGATCCTGCCTTTGCTACCGGCCGATTCCAGTCTTCAGCCCGCTGGCTAGTGGATTGTGAGTCTCACGGAACGAACGAGATGGGCTGATATTTGTCTGGAGCGAATGGAGGTTTATACGTGGTCCTCGTGGTCTTTCACTGCACAAGCGGAGGCGCCTCGGTGTACCCCACAGCGTCATGCCGATTCTCGGTTCGGAGCTCGCGACAACCTGCTGTCTGTCGCAGTTGCGCCAGGTCGGTTGGAAGGCGTATGGAGCTACCGTGTCATGCACTCTTAGTTTTGGTAAGACAATGGGCCGTGTTTCTTTAGCGCGCCGTCCGCGACGTCATCAGTGTCGAGATCTTCCACTGAGCGTCGCGGGCGCCCAGCGGCTGATGCGTCACATGCCTGTTGGGTCGGGCTGCCGTGTGTCCCTCAACGGAGGCTTGGAGCACCGTGGGTTCTCTTCGCACGTACAGAGGCGCCTGCCTCGGATGAGGTGCGCCGTATAGCCTCAGCACCTGAGTGTGTCGCACCCCGGGTGGGATGTTATGATAACCGATCGGCTTGTTCGTTGTTGCGCAATACTGGCACGTGCGGCCCCGTGCGTGGCACATGACCGGCGGGTGCGTCGGGACGGATGCGTCATCGCCAATAACCGCAGACAGGCTGTCAAATCTGAGGTCTTCGTTCATCCGCACGCCATGAAGACTCGAAGCTTTTGCCGAGTGAAATTCGTGCTACAAACCCATCCGGCTGACGCTCAAAGTAAGGTGTTCGCATTACTCCACATATCTCATACCGCTACACGAGTGTTCTTCCACAACAATCTGTCTACCGTTTACGCCCACGCCCGCTATTTGGCACTTTGTTTTTTTCAAATACATACATTAAGGCTGGACCTTGCAACAAATGCAGGCGAATGGGGTTTATGCAGAATATCTGGGTTTTGTTGGTAACTATTCCAAATTGTGTTCAGCGGCCCCTTGCTTTCCCAACTATTTCAGGAAAAACGTGATACCAACATCCAAAGGCATGCGAGACACATCCAATCGAACCTTACCCAAAAGCCTTTACCGACGACAGGTATCAAGGTTCAGGAATCATCACTGTTTCCTCGCACCGTACACAAATGCGGATCAACACACTGTTGATACAAATGTAATGGTCTGCCACCAAGACAACACAGGTCAACTAAATCTACATAAAGACATAGGTTGCACATATCACAAATCTACTTAGCGTACAATGTATGAGTACCTGTCTTTACCTCAAAGTTATATACGAGACAAAACAAACTGACCCGATCTTCGTATGAGCATAACGTGTCGTACAACACCTCCGTTAACATCGTTCCAGACACCCTCCAGACAACTCTAGACACCCCCTTCTCGAAAAAAGGTACCCAATATCTGCAGGCCACAGCGGGGCCTTCACTACGTCGCTATCAGCGCCTCACAACATTAAGTGAACAAAATGCATTGCACGTCGGTTGCACACGGACCCCGGTTGATCTTCCCAGCACAGCCTGCTTTTCCGTCAGCCCGCATCGTCCTAGCCACCATCAGCGCGAGCGGAGCCGTCTGGCCACGGGACAGCTGCCGCCGCCGCCGTTCGTCAGCCTACTCCTTCAGCACATGCCGCGCCACCAGCAACTGCATAACCTGGTTGGTGCCCTCCAGAATCTGGTGCACGCGGATGTCGCGCAGGTACTGTTCGACGCCGTAGTCCTTGAGGTAGCCGTAGCCGCCGAACAGCTGCAGCGCCGAGTTCACGATCTGACGACAGAGGGACGTCAGTCAGCTCCGGGACATGGTCTGCGGCTCTTACGCGCGCCACCAGGCCGCGCCGCCGCGCGCGACCGCCCGCAGGTCCCGCACGTAGACCGCATCGCCGATAGTCAGCACGCGCACGGCGTCCCTGGGCAGGGGCCGTCACACCGGCCAACGCACGCGGGCACCATGCGCGCCACCAAGTCACCCGGCACCAGCGCGGCTCAAGGGATAGTCACACCGGACAACGCACGCGGGCACCATCACATGCCACCAAGTCACCCGGCGCCAGCGCAGCTCAGGGGATAGTCACACCGGACAACGCACGCGGGCACCATCACACGCCACCAAGTCACCCGGCGCCAGCGCAGCTCAGAGGATCGTCACACCGGCCAACACACGCGAGCACCATCACACCATCGCGTCACCCGGCGCCAGCGCAGCTCAGGGGATAGTCACACCGGACAACGCACGCGGGCACCATCACACGCCACCAAGTCACCCGGCGCCAGCGCAGCTCAGGGGATCGCCACAGCGGGCACCACCACGCGCCACCAAGTCACCCGGCGCCAGCGTAGCTCGGGATCGCCACGCCGGCTACGCACCACGCGGGCACCGTCACGCGCCACCAAGGCACCCGGCGCCAGCGTAGCTCAGAGGATCGTCACGCCGGCTACGCACCACGCGGGCACCGTCACGCGCCACCAAGGCACCCGGCGCCAGCGAAGCTCAGGGGATCGCCACAGCGGGCACCATCACGCGCCACGAAGGCACCCGGCGCCAGCGTAGCTCAGGGAATCGTCACACCGGCTACGCACCACGCGGGCACCGTCACGCGCCACCAAGGCACCCGGCGCCAGCGTGGCTCAGGGGATCGTCACACCGGCTAACGCACGCGGACGTCACACCGCCGCGTCACCCGGGGCCAGCGCGGCTCCGGGGATCGTCACACCGGTCAGTGCACGCGGGCACCGTCACATCACCGCGTCACCCTGTCCCGCCCCCCCCCCCCCCCCCCCCCCCCCCCCCCAGCACGCACCTCGAAGCACTTGTCGGTGGCGAACAGCTTGGCCATGGAGCAAAGCGCCACGGTGTCCGGATGTTGGCTCTGCAGCGCCAGCGCCGCGTTTCGCACCATCATCCGCGAGGCGACCAGGTCGGTGGCGGCGCGCGCCAGCACGAACTGGCTGTGCTGCGGACCGAACGGTCGGGTCACGTCAGGTCGGATGAGGTTAGGTCAGTCGGCGACCACGTTACAAGTCAGCTGTCGACGGAAGACAGACGGGGAGGTCCACATGCACCAGCCTGATGATGTCGTGACAACACCTGAAGGCCGACAAGTGACGAGTTTCGGTGACGCGAGTCGCACCAGCCTACTTCGTTGTTCATATGAAAAGGACAACCCAGCCACAGGGAACGTCAGAACAGCGCAGAGACGATCTCAACACAGCGCTTTCCACCAAGACCGGTACAGGTGTTGCAGTGCGCACCAGCATCACCAAGCAAGCACACCATGGACAGCGTGGTCCGACGCATACCTGGAAGTCGGCCAGCGGCTTGCCGAACTGTTTGCGGACCAGGACGTGATCCCTGGCCAAGTCGAGGCTGGCCTGAGCGGCGCCCAGGGAGCACGACGCTGTGAGCAACGCCAAAACAGACGTCACGTAACGCTAATCAGAAGCCGACCAGACGGCACGGCACACCGTTCGAGACCAGCACCGCCCGCGCCGGCTTCCGCGCCCGGTCACCGTCCCGGTCACGCCGCCGCCTCCAGGGAGCGGCTGACAACCCGTCAGAGGGCACACGGCGGGTCTCATTCACAGCGCTGTCACACAGCTGGACGGCGATTCCCGCGCCCCATATAAGCAGCCCGCCGACATGACAAACAGTCAAGCAGACGGCGCGTATCTTATCCCAGGCAGCCTCCTGATTTATACGATCGGAGCATTTGAAGCTACCGCAAAACGGAGGAAAATCGTTCACACAACACGCATTTAATCAGCACACCGCACTCCAGCGCCGGCTTCACACGCACACCCGAACCTGCTCTCGCCCACCTATGTTGATGCGGCCTCCGTTCAGGCCTTTCATGGCGATGCCGAAACCCTCCCCCTCGGCTCCCAGCCGGTTGGCGACCGGCACGCGGCAGTCCTCGAATATGACTGCGCGAGTCGGCTGGGCGTTCCAGCCCATCTTCTTCTCCTTCTTACCGAAGCCGAGGCCTGGGGCAGTGACACGGGCACGTTCGATAAGCGAACTAGGCAGTCACCCTCAAACGAATACAGCTCGCAATTCGGCACAGGAACTCCGAGCTTCCAGTTGTTAACACTTGAAACAGCTATTTCGAACTATTCCCGAAACCTTTAAAACGCTTTTACAGCTATCTCACCCGGCGTCTGACAACATGTCCGAGTAGGAACGGAAGACACGCCACCAGCAAAGCGTTGGTTGCTCAATCACCCCGTGGAATACTCTATTTTCTGAAGGTTTCAGATCGTTGCGAGGGCTTCAGAGCCCGTCTCCTGAATTTGGCCATTACAGCATCTGAATACTTCAGTCAAAACAGGCTCACTTTATGAGACCAACAAGAAACCGACCCTGTGACCGGAACAATGGAGTCCATTGGCCAGTCAGCTACCTAATGGCACTAGAACGGGGCGCACAGGCCAACGGCGACAAAGACCGTCAGGAACAATGAGCGTTGGGACGGGAAGCGCCGGGGACGGGGAGCGCCGGGAACGGGAGGCGCCGGGGTCGAGCAGCGCCGGGGCGGAGAGCATCAGAAATAGGGAGTGGCGTGCCTTACCGGGTGTTCCCTTCTCCACCAGGATGCAGCTGATGCCGCGCGGTCCCGGCTGCCCGGTACGACACATGACCACGTACAAGTCCGTCTCGCCGCCGCCGCTGATGAAAGCCTGCCATCGGAACCATCGGCCGTCATTCGGGGCACCAGCGTCGGGACTGGGGCGCACAGTCCACTAGCATTCGGATGGGACGCACGTGGGCCGCGCTAACAATACTCCGGGGAGAAACACAAAAACCTGGGCATTCGGCCCGCTGCCTGCGAGGCGCTGTCCTCCGGGGACGCCACCCGCCGCCGGCGAGGCGCTGTTCTCTGGAGACGCCACCCGCCGCCGGCGAGGCGATGCCCTCCGGAGACGCCACCCGCCGCCGGTGAGGCGTTGTCCTCCGGGGACGCCACCCGCCGCCGGCGAGGCGCTGTCCTCCGGGGACGCCACCCGCCGCCGGCAAGGCGCTGTCCTCTGGGGACGCCACCCGCCGCCGGCAAGGCGCTGTCCTCCGGGGACGCCACCCGCCGCCGGCAAGGCGCTGTCCTCCGGGGAAGCCACCCGCCGCCGGCGAGGCGCTGTTCTCTGGAGACGCCACCCGCCGCCGGCCATCGAGCAGCGCCGCAGAACCAAGCGGCCAACTACCTTGGAGCCGTTCAGTACGTAGTGGTCGCCGTCACGCCTGGCCGCCGTCGTCAGCGAGGCGGCGTCCGAGCCGGCACCCGGTTCCGTCAGGCAGTACGAGGCGAGCCGCTCCATCGAGGCGAGCGACGGCAGCCAGGCGGCGCGCTGCTCGGTCGAGCCGAACTCGTCCACCATCCAAGCGCACATGCTGCAGTGGGACAGAGGATGGGGCGTCAGACACGGGCATGGACGGCGGTGGCTCTGGGCGCCCGTCGCTTTTCCCAGTCAGTCCCAATTAGCTGGGACAGCGGGTAAGCTCGGCCTGATACCGTGGCGTTTTGCAGCGTAAGAACGGAGCCAGCACTCAAACGGAAAATACGCAAACCAAATATATAGTTAACATGCCGGCTTACAAGCTCATTTAGCTGTTTAGACAACAGGAAATTAAAAAAGAAACAAAGTCAAAGTCATGAAGATATTTCTTCCACGCTGAGCCACACCGTTCGACGCAGCCTAGCGCAGAGGTTGGCTGCCGAAAACAGCAAGAATAGCACGACCAGCTGGCCGCCCTCGACCACCCCAAAGAATGACTTGGCGGCAATCCTCGATCCGGGGAATCACGTGTATATGAACACTCAACCAACACGGCGTGCGCTCTACAGGCATGGGTAGACCGCCAGAGGTAGCAGCATACGCCACAAAAGGAGTGCGGTCCCATCATCAACACTACCACGACCGCAAACTGCACCGCCGCCGTCTGCCGCTCTCACTTGTGAATGCTGATGTAGGCGGTGGTGGTGACGCAGCCCTGCGAGAGCGCCTCGAACACGAGCGACGCGTCCAGCCGCGACAGTCCGGTGCCGCCGTGCTCCTCACGCGCGTAGATTGCGCCGAAGCCGAGGGCGGCCGCGCGCCGCATCGTCTCCACCGGGAACACCTCCTGGCGGGGCGGCAGCCGACGGTCAGTGAACGTCACCGTACCCCGGCGGACGGCAGGCAGCAGGACAGCCGTCTCGTCTCCGACACATCGGGCCGGATTATCGGGGTTATGTGATGCCCTCCGTTAGCTGTCAGAGAAGAACAAATCGAAGTTTGGTGTGTTGAGTTCGCGGTTGGCTTTATGTTTCATGACTGGTGATCAAACGGACTTTGGACTTAACAAACCACTCGATGACGAGATTGAGCTATTGCATGAGGCGGCTGGGCATCGACAGGCCATCCAGAGTACATAACTTGGGACTTCCTGTTTCACAGCCACGATGTTTTCCCTTACTGAAACGCCGATGTAATTCCTAGATGCATGCACATTTCAGCTACTTAAATGGAGTGTTCCACACATTTATGGGGGTTTGAATGTCCACAGCCATGCCCTTTTAAGACTCAAGACACAAGATTCTGAGCTTGACGCTCTTCCCTGAGCTTGTGCAGACTATTTCGTGCAGACTATTTCAAGGTCATCCGGGCATACACAAAAAAGACACGTTACGCCAACACCGCCATCTCACTGGCCATGTGTTGCCCAAAGTCAAAAAAAATATGATCATTGAGTCATTCGTGGCATACGTCTGCACAATTTCTGGCACCAACAGACTTCAGCTGGCCATCAACCAGTGTGTTGCTTTCAGTGCAAGTTTCAAATACAAATCACGTTTTGTGCTACATAATGCAAGCATTCTGCCAGTGGGACGGGTTGTGAAGGACACAAGGCTAAGAATCGAATACCGTAAGGCAAACTTCATAACCACGCATGTAAATGCCAGTGAAAAAATGCAAATTCGCGGCAAAATGTGAAAGAATGGCACGAGATAGGGCCAACACATAATCATACAACGATATTTGGGTCCAGCAAACACGGTCCAGTAAACACCGCCACCTCTCGGCAAGTTGAAATACTACAAGTGAATCAGCCCCTCAGCTACAGGGGAAATTCTGACACAGATAGGTTAGCAGCAACTATTCAAACGATCGTATATTGAGGCACCGATTTTTTGGAGCAACACGAGACAAAAATCCCTTCAAGGGAATGGTCCACATTTCGAGACATTGCGGCAAGCAGCAGGCATGAATAAGCAAGTTTAATTGTAACTACAAATTTGCTTCTAAGTGTCAAAGACTGCTCAAGACCACAAAATATCACTGTTTAGTAAATGTGCCTTTCAATACGTTCTCATTTGATTGCGCCATCGCATCTTGCACAACGCTGATAGAGCCAAATGACGGCCGTTATATCTGGAAATTGTGGTCGCGGGCGCCAGACATGAACGAATCGACAATTTTTTCGTGGTCTTGATCGACACATGTCTTATGGAACAACACAATTTGAAAATCATTATTATGGCGTTACGGAGGCTTTGATGACCTTGAAATAGTCTGCCCGAAAAAGCCTGTACATATTCGCAGGCGTGTAGGTCAGAAACTAGCTCTTGCAGCTCAAAACCAGTAACCAAGTTTGGAACTGGCCCTTTAAGTTACCCCCATGAGGGGAGGGGCGCTCAGGAGCCTCCCTAATATTGCTCCGAAATAACTTCTGATCAGTTTTGAGTACACATTTTCATGCAATTCATGCAGATTTGAAGTTTTTTGACATCAACAGCTTGTGAAGTATGACCCCATTCTCGAGGTTATGTCGCTGACATTTCGTTCAAAGGTGACAAACAAAAATTACTTCTTGCGGGAAGTGCACACCGAAGTGTTTTCTTACACTTCTTGTCTAGTCTTGGCCACTTTGCAGTGCAAAATTAACATCCTGGTGGCTATTGCAGGGGCAGGCCATCCATGGTCACGGTAGATCAACCTTTGAATTTTGTGACAAAATTTGACCATTAGAAGATCATCTTGCTTAGATCCTAATGACACCTTTCTACAGCTCGAATATATCCTTTGAACCCCATTCTCATCATTCTCATGTGGCTTGTTTGATTTATGACATTCTAGTAACTTTACAAACTATAATATAATATATAACAGCCTTCACCCATTTGACCCAACATGATCTATCACAGGTGATTTGTACCCATACCCACTAATACCAGTCCAAAAATTGTTCAAGACCAAGGCAGTCCTGCCTTTAACATTGTTATGGCATACCTGGTACTTGATATGCCAAAAGGGGTCTAGAAAGTCTTAATTGGGTTGTGTCAACTGGTTTGACCTTTCACAGGTCACATTCATTATTGACAGACACACAAATGCCATGCAGTTTGATGGCAGCTTTTCCATGAAGATTTCCTTAAATATCTCTCTTACCTGATTTAAAATCAGGATAGGACATTAATGGAACAATTCATAGTATAAGAAACTGATTCAAAAGCTGGCATGTTTCATAACTGTAGTCAATTTGCGTGGCCCAGGCTTATTTGGTATATTAGATCTAATGGGAGCCTCTGAGAATACACTAAGGCAGAAATGAACATACAAAATAAAGCAAAGGTTAACTAACTACAAAATTTATACCTGTGCACCATGGCAGAGCTCCATCTCGCAGGGTGCTGTTTTTAGTGCATCAGAACCTTAAGCCAGGGGAAATTGCCTTACCAGAGGACAAAGTCTTTAAGCCCTGTGCAAGCATCAACTTACTTGTTGGTCCCATTCTGACATCTTAGGAGCCATTTCATTTTTTGCAAAGTCTAGGGCAAGCTTTTGTACTTGTTGTTGCTCTTCTGTGAGTCCAGATGATGCTGCAGGCAGGAAGACATGCTGGTGATGGACCTCTTTCCACATGTTCAAGTGATGTTTTGAGCTTTAAGTCAAGGCCAAGTTAGTGGCACAAACAACCTTTATTTCTCAAGTAGGTGTAGAACTGCATAATTTTTCCTGCAAGCCAATGACTACTTGTAAATCAGCAACACAGGCACAGGAACCGTAAATCAGGAAGTGTGTCATTTCTCCAGATGTCCTTCACAATATGTTAGTAGTAAAAATCAAGGGTTGAATTTCAATTATGTGATGGGCATTTTAATGTTTTAGTGAGCTTTATCATGGGGTAGGACATGAGATCACATATTTTAAAAATTCCATGTAACTTAAATGGGAGAGGTTAACTAAGGTGATAGCTACAATTTTCCATGGACAATGTGCTTGCTAAAACAATACCTTTGAAAAAACACAAACAGCCTGTACAACACACTTTTTAAAAAGGAAGATTTTTCCCCAAAAAACTCTTTGAACATGCTATCAGTGGCTGCAAAGGTCAATTTAATAGTTGGATTTGTCTTTGAGTGTGTTTCACCCGTTCCAAAATTTTTGCTGGCACTCAAAGTGTATCATATACACCCCAAATCCTGTCTGTCTTGCACAGATGCAAAGAAAATAATACCGATGATGGATAAGTAGCACCACAACTATGATTTAGAAACGCAGAAGCCGGAAGAAATTACGAACGCTTACACGGCGCATGTGGTACGAAGTCAGTACAGCAAGAATGTCTTCAGCACACCAAATCATGACATAGTGAGTGGTTAATTAAATAGTATACTCACCATCCAACGACGTCACTCCCGTTATCCATCTCGTTGATTTAATGACCTTCCAAGGACTGGCCTTAGAATGTGAAAAAGCCCTGAAGCAGAAAGTCCTTCCTATGTGCGCCGCCATTTTTTACACGGAGCTATATAAAACCAAACATTGCATAATAGGCAGGTACTTTTTATTTATTTAAGTATATTATGTTAATATTATATGATAAAATATATCATCGAGCCTTCAGTAACAAAATACAGCTTTTGTTCTTCTTTTAGCTATACATCAAAATGACCTTACCCACACCTCTTGCGGTATTTTAGAGAACTAAAGCTGGCACTGTGACAAGGGAAAAGTCGCACGCCATGTTTTATTTGTTTATGGTGGTCAAGTAGATGTTTACTTGGTTATATTCTGAGCATTCATTTCAAGATCTCTCTTGTGATTTAATCTCAGCATGGGACATTCATGGAACGATTCGCACTGTAAGAAACTGATTCGAGGCTTGGCTTGTTTCATAACTGAAGTCACTTTGCAACCCGTGGGCTGATTTTATATTGTGTACCAGTTCGTGACCTAAGCGTGATGTGGTGACCTGCTTAAACTGTTCGTATTATGGTGATGTTTTTAAGTATCTTCAAAATAATTAAAGTTGCTGATGGCATTTGTGTGTCTGAGTCATTTGTTAAAGCTTGATTTCAGGGTTTTTCTGATGTAGGTAGCAGTTTGGTAAGTTGGATCCTAGTCACCTTACTAACCTGTTTAACTTTTAGCTGTTTTTATGTAGCACCAATGAAATCAGTTTGAACACATTTCGTCAGTGGTATAGATAGGCAGATGGTGGGGTTTTGGTAGTACAAAATCTTAATAAGGTGCAATTATATGTTGTGCCAAAACCTTTGGCAAAAAAAAAATTCCCAGCATTACAAAGATTGTGAGGATTCCATCTAACACAACATGTGTGTTATCAGGGGAGAGTGAGCTTGAAATTTTTTGAAAGAAATGTCTGACACTTGAAGATATTGAAGTAAGCGTCAGATGGGATGAGACAAGCTCAGTTATACCATTTGGTATCCTTTTAAGCATAAGAAAATGCTCTAGGTGCCACAGTTTCTGTTGTGATCAAATATGCTCCTTGAAATGTCATTTTTTATTAGGTCATTGTCATTTCAAGGAGCATATTTGATTACAACAGAAATTATGGCACCTAGAGCATCTTATATTTAAAGGATACCAAATGGTGTAACTGGGCTTGTCTCATCTCATTTTTTATTAGGTCATTGTATGGGTGCTGTATGACCTACAGCAGTTGATGCACCCTACAACCCCAAATCATCATCATTAGGTTATCATACCTTGTGCTACATTGATTGAGGGCCACTTGTTGGGTGTTTTGTCTGGAAATATTAAGTTCCAGAAGTGTGTTAAGGTCAGCCTATTGATGGCAAGTAAAAATATGGGTGTAAATTTTGATTTTTTCAATTTCAGCCAGGGTTGGCAAAGTAATGGTTTGCAGAAAATCATTAACATCTTTGAAAACCAATATTAAAGTAGATAAAAAGTTATGAGCAGGCTGGTCACTGAAAGCTGTTTCCCTTTCCACACTGTTTTTGTGGCATCTGGAAATAATATTGCTGGTGGCATTTATCTAGGAGAGCAATGATAGAGCTGTGCTGGGCCATGATAAGGGGATTAGTGGGAATTATTGGTAAAGACTACATATTAATGCAGCTCAGCTGTCAGCATCATGCACTGAGGAAAATATATTATCAGGCTCAATGTTGGTGAATAGATGCAGTATATGCTACCTATGTAGGGGAGGTTTGGTCTATAAAGGGGAAATAACCATTTCTGCTGCTGCATTGACTCCCTGGCCAGGGTCATGTACAACAGTGTTTTTAAGTCCCAAACAGGTGAAGTATTGTGCATAAGTTTGGGGAGCAGCAGAGCAGATGAGCACCTGCCTTCCAATCCACCAGTGGTGCAAAGAGTAGCCTCAAGACACTGTGGTGCTCCTTTGTTTTGCCACTCACTGGGATAGTCTGCCCTTATGGTAGCTGCTGGTCAAGGTCAGATAACATCAGAGGGTGCAGTGTACCATGCTGAGGATTGCATCACATTCAACTTTTGCCAGAAGTTTTGCTGTCATACTGGAATTGCAATTAAATTCCAGGGAGCTGTTCATGTGGCAGTGGGCACTGCTTAGCATAAGCTTGGACCCCAGAAATGTATCAAAACAAAATGGTTTGTGCTGTTTTTTAATGCCAGCACATTCACAAGACACTACAACAGGTGACATTGGGCAGATAGGTTTTCTATCTCCATGACTTGGCCATTTCAGGTTCAAATCCAGGTCCCCAATGAACTGTCCAATGCTGATGTGCAGCATCCTCGGGAGGCTAGTGCTGTGTGCCCTCGAGCGGCATTCATTTATCTGACTCGCAATGGGCCCCCGCAGGATCAATAAGTGAACCCACATGAGCCACCCTGGATCCCGTTGAGGAAACTAGCTGCCCGCCGCCGGCCGTGCCTACCCTGCTGCCAACGGCCACAGTCCAGCAGCCCGCACAGCCAGGCGAGCTGCCTGCAGAGCTGTCCCAGCAGGAGGCAGAGCCAGCCGAGCAGGCTGCCGACCTGCCGCAGTCTCCCTCAAGGACGGCGCGGCCAACAGAGGCCAAAGTAGCCATGTCTCGTCCGGGCTCCAGTCGAAACAAGAGCATACCAGCTGACAAGGTGCGTGACCAGCAGGCATTACTAGTCATTGTGAGGGGTGGCCTGATGCTGTGGTTGAGGTTGTAGGTAATTTAGTTGGAACCATTGGTGCTCTGACAATCATTTTAGCAAGATGCATTTGTTAGTGTAGGGTCCTTGTAATGCCTGAACTGATTGGTACTTCCATTGTAGAATGGATGCTGATGATATGCTCTCTGGGCATTTGCTTTAAAGATGGGTTGGGATATAGTATCAAGAAATCCAAAGTTTGCAATGGATAAACTTATATTCCTTTCAGCTCTTGTTTGATGATAAATAATGCACCCGGAGCTGTTGCAATATATTAGAGGCATACCACTGATTTCATGGGCACCACATCCTTTCGTGGGAGAAAAAAAAGCAGTCATCAGAAGCTTATGTTCTGATTGTGTCATAATAAGTTGTATTCTTCTTTTGATGTGACCAGCTGCATGATATTTGAGAATGCCTTGTGATTGGAGTTGCAACCTCATGTGAAATATAAAATAGGTATCAAAATGAAATATGGTAGCTTGAAGTAGTTCCAAACATTGCAAAACTTTCTTTGCATTTGCTTGCTTGGCAAAGTCTCTTATCTCCACTCCAGGACCCAGAGCCATTTGTCGATGTGCCAACTTTCAAGATCTCATATTTACTCCAGTGCCAGCCACATGCCAACAGCCATCAGCTTTCTGCCAAATGATTTGACAACTGACTGCGATTTGACGTGCCAGTTGAACTAAATAGCACCTGTTCAACGTCTGTGTGACCGAGGGGCTGGCCGTCGGCGGTTCGGAGCAGCGCGAGCGCCGTCGTTAAGTCACGTGCGCTCTTCCCCGGCGACAGATCAACCTGCGGCTGATCATGGTGAGCGGCAAGAGTCGCGAGTTCCTGTTCGGCACATACCACTCGGCCGGCGACATCGCGCAGTTCGTGTTCGACACGTGGCCCGAAGGTAAGCGGCTCGGCCCGTTTCGGGAGCGGATGATGTACACGTGGTTCCGGGGTAGGGTTTTGACATGTGGTTTGAATGGTGTCAGAAATGGCCGAAAAGTGGTCGACACTTGCGTCGAAGGGAAGTGGCCAGCATAATGCTTAGTGCCAAGCATTACCTGAGTGGAGTGTTGACTCTAAAAGCTGAGTTCTGAAAGCTAAAACCTGAGCTGAAGTTTTACGGTAAGCAGGAGTAGGACCACAAGTCATGTATGGGGTGAACTTTCCTTTTCTTGGGTAGGTTCTTCAATTTAGGTATTTTATTTTGTGCTGATCCTTCATTGCATGTTCACCACAGTCACATTGCACGGTCACGCCTGCATGGACGGGTGGCCGTTCCGGGAGCTCCGTTGTTGGAGGGGCGGACACCTGACCACTAGCGCCGCACACTGTGGACTGGCATGTAGTGTCGGCAGAATAGGTGTTTGCGGCTAGGATTGATTTCTTAGCATCATGTGATCCAGACTGGAATGTTTGGTGGTAAAAAAGGAAGTTGGTTTAGTGCTACAAAAACACGTTTAGAAATTGCTGGAAGCACTACAGCTGTTTTCAGCAAGTGACCTGACAAGTAAAGACCATAAAATATCATCCCAAATGAATGGCACTGTCATATGTGACTATTCTGAATTGTACCATTATCAACATTTTGTTTTCTTTTGGGCGACAAGTAACACAAATGTTTTATTTAAAACATGCATCACCAGACATGCTTATAGATTTCGTCAGCCCACATGTCTGCAGATGATTATGTACTGTAAGCCTGATGCGATTTAGCTTGAAGTCAAAAGCAAATAAACACACTGAATGCATTCTGCAATACAGGAGTGGTGGTTGCAGGGTCCTTGCTACAGGCTATGCCTATCACGTGACTTGGTCGTCGTGTTATTCTTGCAAGACATGCAACCAAAAAAGTTCTCCAAAAGGCTTCTTTTAAAGTTCCTTCTTCAAGACATCTCTAAAAGAGATTGGTGTTGTGCCCACACTGCCATGGCGGATCTTCGGGCCTGACCCCCATTCTAGAGTGGGGTTTTCTTATTGTAATGTCGCAATGTGCCCAGACTGATGTCAGGAGACCCTGGTTAGGAGCCTTTGTCCTGATGCCCCTAGTCTGGAGTGAGGAGGTCTTTGATATCAGCCTGTGTCCCAATGTCCACAGACTGGAGTGAGGAGGCCGTGGCGAAGGCGGAGGTGCTGCGGCTAATCTACCAGGGCCGATTTTTGCACAACAACGTGACGCTGGGCGCGCTGGGTCTGCCGCTCGGCAAGACCACCGTCATGCACCTGGTGCCGCGCGAGACGCTGCCGGAGCCCAACTCACAAGGTATGGCCCGGCGCCAGTGATGCTAATTCTGCGAACCCTCGCCTGTTGACGTGCTACTCCGGTGGAGCAAAGGTGT